ATATGCGTTTTTGCTGCCTGTTGCAGCGCTCTAGCGCTGCACGGCAAAAACGCATAAAAAGCTAGATGGACATACAGTGAAAGTTCTGTGGCAGACAAAATAGGAAATGGAAATTTCACAAATCTACTTTTAAAATCCATTTGTCGAGGTCCTAAATTATGTATCACGTATGATGAAGACAGTTACTGCTAAATGAAAAAATAATAAACCAACTTTATAAACTAAGCCAATACTAATTTGCTCTCTGGAATCGATTAGTTCAGTAGCCAGAACGTTAACGAACTGTTCAGTAGCCAGAACGTTAACGAACTCATACCACGGCACAAATGCGATGAATAAAAAAACTTTGATTATACGCAAACCCTGGCTCGGAGCCATGCATTATGTTAGCGCATCCTGTATTGTTTCCTGGAAATAAGGAAATTTAGTAGCCAAAAAGACTATAAAATCCAAAATTCTGCTCTTTAACTCCAATTTTTGAATAACACCGCATTGTATCAAGAAAATAATAAGCCAGCGTCGTCATGGAAAGGATATCAAACTTCTCCAGCTAATTAAAATCTGCCTTGGCCATAAATTGCTATGTTTTGGCTGAAGCAAATGAAAACCTGCACATTTGCTTTGTCAGAAGATGAATAAGCTCGACAATTGGTCACTTGAAATAAAAAGAATACAACTAAGCAAGTCCAACTGGTCATCATGCCATTTTCTAAAGGTCCTAATAGACTTTGGAAATCCACAACACAGACAATCTTGCACCATCGCGTTTTAAAAGAGGTTTTTCCAGGGGCGAGTTTTCAGTCCAGAAAAGGTGAAGCAATGCAGCTGAGCAGGGAATAGAAACTACGGAAGAGAACATAAATGAACAAGAAGAAAGCATTATTTTTCTCTTTTTTCATCTCCTCAGCCCTGGTATATTGAAAATAAATTGAAATTTTCGCTGTGTAATTGAATTTTAGATGTGGCCACTTCAGTAAATAAGACAGTGTTTCGTTTTTGCTCAAAATTAAATCGATTTTGCTTGAAAATTAGTTGCTGACCAATTTATTTACGCCAAACACATTTCTTGAAAACATTTTCTGAACTATCGTGACGACAAAGCTGTTTTTTGTCCAAAAATCGCGCCAACGAAAATTCTAATTTTTAAGACGTAAAGAAATACAGCAAGCAAAATGCGCTAGAAAAGCAGATGCCCACTGCTGTCTTGCTCTTAAAATGTTCCTAGTTTAATTTAATTGGATTTCATTTATTCAGAGACATTGGTCATACGTAGTGAAAAAAAAAATTGAGGCTAGGGAAGAGGCTAGCACGAAACTGATTTTATCTTTTAAATCACTTAGCTAAAATTTTTGCTGAAAAAATTTACTTATTGATGTTATTGCTCCTCCAGCGCCTTAATGTTGCGCACTCTCCAACAAAGTACTGTGATTTCGGTGTGGTGCGAGCAGTGCTATTAACACAATGACTGCCTCAAAAAAGATTTGAGCTGATCGCGTGGCAAAAATTTGAGATTAGAATATAAGTAAAGCAGAACGTCAAACAGCGGCCGTGCAGTGTCGTGTTAAATATACATGAAACGCCGCCAGTGTGAAGGGGTTTGCTGTATGAATGTTTCAAGCAAAGCAAAGAAAAACAGTGGCTTTGTTAACTGCATCAGTGGCAGGGAAGAAAATCACAGAGAGTCAGAAGTCTATCAAAGTACTATTAAGGCAGAAAAAAGTGTTTAAATTGTTGAATTATAGTTCGAAGATGCCAATCTCGAATATAAAAGAACGCACCACTGACCGGACTAGTTCGAATTGAGGCATTCGAATTGCATGGGAAAATTTTGCAAACAGGAAAAGGCTTCCATATCATTAATATTTTACCGTGCTAGTCAAGAGCTGCAGAACCAAATATTTTTCCGAAGAGCAGTTACGCTTCGGGAATTAATTTAGGTGTTTGCACCGAGAAACACGGGCATATTTGTCATTGCATTTAACGAAAAGTTTACTGTTTTCTGTTTTCAATAATGCGGCAGTTTCTGCTGCTAATCTGGAACAAATTAGATGAATGGCTTCTGGGAAGCTTAACATGCTACAGCTACTTGCCGCGTCACCTGTTCTCTCATCCTCTACGTCCAACCACCTACCTATTCCTTGCCGACACTTGGCCGTCGCAGCTGTTTTTGCTATATCGATCTTATTAAACCCCAAACCAATGAATCTTCATCTTGGGCTTTTAGACCACCATGCTTTTTAAGTCACATTGAACTGCAAGGCTTAGTTGCCGTTCGAATTTTGAAACAATCCTTTTTACCAGAAAATTTTTCTCTTATATCGCTATGTATATTTTCAAGCCCATGAATCACTTAATTTGGTACCTGACTTTGCTTTGCTTCTGCACTGCCGGCGCAAATGAAAGCTTTGAATTTATTTTATCGACTGAGCTACCACTGGCCGATAATCGACCCGAAATATCCATTTCTAATGAGCCTGCCGTAATTCCAACAAACCCAGGAATCCCTGTTGCGCTACAGACCGAAACGCCAGAACCACAACCGGTTAAAATTCGTCGAAGTGATCTCGTACATACTGGCACGCCAGCTGGAATTTATTTTCGAATTAGCCAGAAGGTTACTTTCTCTATTACAATGGTTTTGCTACATGTGCAGCCATTTTCAAGCCAAAAATTCAAAATTCTAGCCTACTTGATTCTGAATTTTTAAATTTGGCGGGAATTTAAGCTTGACATCATTAGACAATGTGTAGTGAGTCCTGGAACCTGAATCTAGGGCTGTTTAGCTTAGATTGAAGATGATCGAAACTCTGAAACTTTTTATCCTGTAACTGGTCCCAATCGCGACCTAGGTGCAAAGACCAAAGCATGGATGTCAGGCTTGACAACAGAAATTATTTTATATATTTTGATAACAGAAGTTATTTTATATACAACTTTAATAAATTTTTGAGATATTTCCATTTAAGTTATGATTCCCACAAGATTAACTCATTACGCGTCGTGAATGACCTTAGACCTGATCAGTGTTTATGAATGTACTGGCCCCTCGTAGTAAAATGCAAGGTTTTCATATGATCCACGCTGTTATGCTGAGCAGGCTATCTTGAGCTAAATGTCACTAACTGGCTAGGTTCTATGTAGTTTATATTTTCCACACCTATTTAGGACCTTCATTAACCGCCTATCCATGGTACTCATTTAGTGCTCGACTGACAGAACATGGTGCCGTGTCTGTTCAGTCTTCTGGGAAGAAAATGATGGCACACTGAATTTTGAATTGCATGTGATCTTATCGATAAAAGACTGAAGTTCAAGGGCCAGTATATCACAAATTTTAGCTACTGTAATTCCTTGCGACCTTGCTATAGCACGAAATTGTGCAAAAACGCATAATCGCACTGGCTCGCCTGGTCCGTTTCAGCCTGGGTTGCTCACTGCGGCAATACTACAACGCCGTACAGCAAAAACGCATAAAAACTCAGGCTTGGTATTTTTTCTCGGAGTCTGGATAAACAAAAATTAAGCTGAAAAGGCCTTTGGAAGCAAATCCAGTAGAGATGGTATCGGGAGAATTTTTCTAAACACAACTCACTAATTTTCAAATGACACTTTTTTAACAATGAAAAATGCTTATTTTCACTTAACAAAACTGCCTAACAAGCAGTTAAAATGATTCCAAGCTCCTGTTTAAATAAAATTGTATTAACGAGAGCTTTTGCAGGGTGTGGACTACATCACTGGTCTTGCGGCAGAAGCACTACCACAGCTGCTTGAAAATTCTCAGATGCCGACTGTGGAGCAGCCACAAATCAAAATTTCACAGTTAACCATTGACAAATTTAGCAATCCAGCAATACAGGCCAGGTTTATTGCCAACGCGGGTTAGTTTAGCCTCTCGCGTTTGTAATCATACAAATCATAGTTCTTCCCTAATTAGATTCTGGAGGAAAGTTTAGCGGATGGCGATCTGCTGCTGCACCGTTCAATGCCAAAAATTAGAACTTCAAAGCTGGCCGCTTAAAAATCAAAGCAGGCTGTCCGCTTTATTTCTAAAAACTGGAATGCATTGCTGGGGACCAGTAAACGATTTTCAAAAGCTGAGGACCAGTAAGCTTGCTAACTAGTCACTGTTTTTATTAGAGCGCTACAACCCAACTGCGATTGAGTTTGTCTTGAAAAGCGAAATGTAGAAGAACGCTTACATAAAATAGGGTGTAGGCTCGCACCTGTCTTCCAAACAGCGCGTCCCAAACCATCAACCTTGAAAAGTAACAAATACTTGAAATGCACAGGAGTCTCATTTTTATTGTTTTCAGATCCCGTCAACAAAACCACTTAATTTTGTTCGCTTGTAAAAAATTTTTCCTGATACAGGTGTTGAAGCGCAAGTGCATTTGCCTCAGGTCATGCTGAACGCCATCTACGACGCATCAACTTTCTTTGCCACTTACAAGGGCAAGTTCAAGGCAGAAGTGAAGAATCTGAGTGTTATCATGGAAGTACACATTAGCAGGAATGAAACTGAAAAAATAAATATCATTGAGGCAAATTATCATGTTTTATAGCTCTTTCCCCAGAACATATTTTGCATTTTTCCCAGAAAATATTTTGCATTTTTCAATTTTCTAAAATGGCGATTCAAGCTTTTTTCGCTTTTTTAGCTCTAACTGTGAGCACTTGAAAAATAATCGAAAAAGAATTCCGCTTCATGTTGCAGACACCAGTGTGTAACGTGACGTCGAGTCTCGTCCGAATTGTGTTTGCCGGGGATATGTCAACTTACCTCAACCTAATGAGGTAGAGGACTTAATCACCTAATCTTAACAATATCTTTCTCACTTATGCTTCAAATTTTACCTATTTTTATGCGCTTTTTTGCAGCTGTGCAATGCAAAAACGCATATCGACGAGGGATTGTCTGTGTGTCCGTGTGTCTGTGTGTGCGTCTGTCATGTACTTTCATCTCAAGACCTATAAAAGCAGCAGGGCTGGAAATCTGGAAACTTAATCTACATGCACGTACGGTTCGCAACCTCCAAAAAGGGCGCCATCACCCGCGTGGTACTCGCGTACGGGCCCGCCAAAATTTTTTTGGGTAAGTTCATAACTCAGAGATCCGAGAAGCTAGAACGCTGAAATCTTAGGGGGGTGTTCCCCGTCCAAGTGGGTATTAACGAGTTCAGATCCTGCCCGCGGGTAAGCGTGGTACCTACGTGCGGGCCCTTGAAAATTTCTTTCGGGCAAGCAGCTAACTCGAGGACGTGAGAAGCTGGAAGGCTGGAATTTTGAAGGGATGTTTCCTGACAGTTCTGGCGGCCAGTCTGAAATTCTTTTAGCCAGAAGCATCTGCCGGAAAAACCCAGGCTGGAACGGACCAGGCGGGCCGGTGCGATTATGCGTTTTTGCGCTTTTCGTGCCGTAG